TGGACTTACAAATATTTTATGTTTGTTTTTAAGATATTAATTAAGACTTTGATGTTTTAAGGTATTTAGACTTTGATGTACTTGGACTTACAAATGTTTTATATTTGTTTGGTTGTGTATTAAGACTTTTAAAGTTTTAAGGTAGTAAGGCTTTAATATTTGGTTAATAGTTGGTATGCTTGGACTTTAAATTTTAAAGGCATTGAGACTTAAATATTTCTATTAGAAATTTAGAATGTGTAAACTTTTTTATTTATATTAATAAAGAAAATATATTTTTAAATTAATAACTAATAAAAGAAATACATTTTGAAATAATCACTTTCATCTCCATTTGTTTTTAACTTGTTTGTCTTATACAGTAATTCTTTAAGGATAAAGGATAAAAGGAGAATATATATATATATATATGAAAAAAGTATAAAACAAATTCCAGAAAAAAGTGGTAGGAATTTTTTGTTCTTCCTGCAATTTTTTTAAAATATAATTCGTAGGTAATACTTTATAACATTTTAATAAGTTGAAGGAAAAGTTGCAGGTAAAGTTTCTTACGCATTTTTGTTTGAATTAAATTTGACAGAAAAATTAAACAAAAATAATTTATTCAAATTCTTAATTTAAAATTAAATATTTAAAAGACAATGTCTCTTTGATTTCAATTGGAATCTGGCTTCCTGCTTGTTATGTTTTCATGTCTTCTTTGGTTTCAATTCGATTGGCCCTCTACTTTTGTCAATTAAAGCTCTAGATTTCACAATTTGTGGTTATTTTAGATTTTGGTGATTCTGAATCCACACATTTTGCTTTGCTTTGTTCATTTAATTGTGGCACAACTCATTCATCTGTTTGTGTTGTTTTTGTACTGAATCTAAAATTCATGTTTTAAAGTGGTTGTAGGCAAGTGTTAAAGAACGTGAATTCAACTGAGCTTGCATTTTAATAAATTGAGAGTGACGAGTTGTGAGACCCCCGTTCCCTCCCTCTCCCTCATTTCCTCCTGAGTGGTACAAAAGACCAAGGATTACTTTTTCAAAAATCACCTAGTCTACCAATAACTGGGTTTGCAGATTCAGATTGGGCAGCAGACAGAACAGATATGAGGTCTACAACAGGATACTGTGTGTATTTGGTACAAATGTTTTATATTTGTTTGGTTGTGTATTAAGACTTTTAAAGTTTTAAGGTAGTAAGGCTTTAATATTTGGTTAATAGTTGGTATGCTTGGACTTTAAATTTTAAAGGCATTGAGACTTAAATATTTCTATTAGAAATTTAGAATGTGTAAACTTTTTTATTTAAGAAATTGATTTACTATTTACAATGTTTGATGTTATTATTAGAAGTATATTTATATCATTTTATATGTTTTTTTTTCCTCATGTTTTCATAGGTTAAATAAAGGAAAAGAAATTTAAAATCTGAGTCAATATTCATTTAAACAATTTAGATTTAATTGGGCCCGGGGACTTATCCGTTTATCCGCGGGTTTCACGGGCCGGATACGGACTTGAAGATTTAAGTCCATCTATTTCGCGAACCGGATTTATCCGGCCCGTTAAAAATGCGGACTTCGCGGACCGGGCCTTAAACGGGCCGAACCGGTCTGCATACCCACCCCTAACTATGATACACAGGGAAGTATGCTTCTAACTCAATCAACATATATAAATAATTTGCTGATTAAACTTAATATGCAGGATTCCAAACCAGTAAAGACACCTCTTCCTCCTAGCTGCAGAATGCCAACAGATTCAACAGAGAACTTTGACAATCCCGGTCTATATAGAAGAGTTCTTGGAGCTCTTCAATATGCCACCGTAACTCGACCCGACATAGCCTATTCTATAAACAAATTGTGCCAGTTTATGCACAAACCCCTGGAATTTCATTGGAAATGTGTAAAAAGATTGCTACTATACTTGAGTGGTACAAAAGACCAAGGATTACTTTTTCAAAAATCACCTAGTCTACCAATAACTGGGTTTGCAGATTCAGATTGGGCAGCAGACAGAACAGATATGAGGTCTACAACAGGATACTGTGTGTATTTGGGAAAAAATCTAGTCTCCTGGATGGCTAAGAAGCAACACACTGTTTCCAGATCAAGTACAGAAGCAGAATTTAGGAGCCTAGCTGCCACAGTATCTGAAATTACATGGATTCAGCCCTTATTAACAGAATTGCATGCAAAACACACCGAACCACCATTAATCTGGTGTGACAACTTAGGTGTTGTTCTCCTTACTACAAACCCAGTAGTTTCTAGTGTGCTATGCCGGGCGTAGTGACCAGTCGGTTCGTTACACGAGTGGTTTTAAAACCGCCAGAAAAGTTGAACCTACAATACTAAAATGCATTTTGTAACATTTTTAAACCCCAAAAAGTAATTGAATTTTCTGACACTCAGAACCAACGTTTACAAAAATATCTGTTAAAATTCGTTTTTAGTGATCGTGGATCAACAAGTACGCTAAAAATATAATTTGTGGCGATTTTAACCCCTAGAAAATGCTTAAATAATCGCGATAAATTACGCATTTTTTTTTTAGTGAGACAACATGCAGCAGTTTCACTATCATTCTGTAACTAATAAATATCTCCATTTTTATTATTAAATAGGTATGAAATTTGTATTTCCATCTTTATTATAGTAGGATTCAAATATATTCATACTTTATTTTTTATTTATCTAAAAATTAGTTAAATATTTTTTAGAAAAATATTAGAAAAACAAAAATTTTAACATAAAATATTAATTATAAAATTAAATTAATTATTATTTGACATAAATTTAAAATTAAATAAAGATTACATAAATTTTAAGTAAACTTTTAAAAATTAAATTAAAATTTTAAAAATATAGAGTGAATACTAGACATTTTTATGTATTTTAATAAATTAAATATTATCTATACTCATCAAATTAAGTATTTTTCATTAAAATTCAAACAAATTTAATGTTATTCATAATTAATATAAATTTACTTGTTACTATCATCTTAATTAATGATGAGAGGAAGCTGAGAGGACGGAGGAAGCGCGTGAGGAACAGACACTGAGGCTAGGGAAAGAAAAGGACGATGGAATTGATTTGTTTAAATGTTGTTTGAATGTTGATAATTATAAATCATATATACCAATTTATTCTTTCTATATTTTTTTATTCATAATTTAACAATAAAAAATTCAAAATGAATGAATATGTCAATAACTTATGACACTAAGCTACACTATGTCTTTAATGGATTTGAATTTCATGGTAGAGAACCTTTGAATGGGTTATTTATGGCACTTTATGTTACTCCTTCCATTTTTTATTCATAGTCGTTTTGTCAGAATTTGTCGTATTTTTTTCATTGTCATTTTATTAAAATTAATGACTTATTAATTTTTTTTTCTCTTTTTTACTCTTGATAATTAATGTATGTTTACTAAACAATGTGTCTATTTATTTTTAATGTCTACCTATTTTTTCTCTAACCACTTATGTGAAGTTAATGTTGCATTTAAAAGGATAATATGTTTCCAATGAAATACTATACTCCCTCCATTTTTTATTCATAATCGTTTTGTCAGAATTTGTTGTATTTTTTTCATTGTCATTTTATTAAAATCAATGACTTATTAATTTTTTTTGTCTTTTTTATTTTTGATAATTAATGTATGTTTATTGAACAATGTGTCTATTTATTTCTAATGTCTACCTATTTTTTCTTTAACCACTTATGTGAAGTTAATGTTGCATTTAAAAGGATAATATGTTTCCAATGAAATACTATAAAAAAATAGAAGGTAGAATAGGAAAGTAAGTAATAAATATTTTTTAAAACTAAAATTTCAATCATTTTTTTAAGTCCCGTACAAAACCTTAAACGACTATGAATAAAAAATAGAAGAAAAGTAAAAAAATAAAGGGTAAAATAGGAAAGTAAATAATAAATATTTTTGAAAACTAAAATTTTAATATTTTTTTAAGTCTCGTGCAAAATCTTAAATGACTATGAATAAAAATAGTAGGAGTACTTATAACAACTTTATTGTCTGTATCAGGTTTGGATAATTGATGTCTGCAACTTTTCTCTGATACAGTTGTTGTAGACATGATATTGCAATATCTGAAATGTAGATTGTATCTAAGAAATTTATTTCAAATCAATGTTGCAACGTTCTTCTCTCTCATATGACAGTTTAAATTTTTCTGCTAGTAGGTGTGAGTAGGGACGGGTTTATATGGAAGATAGTGGGGGCAATGGCACTAGCTTTCACTATCATTTTATAAATATTTTTTTTTTATAAAAAAAGTAATATATTTTAAAAAATAAAACTTATATTTATTTATGTATAAAATTTAAATTTAAAGAAAATGTCTATATATTTGTCAAATATTTTAAGGAGATTAATTTTTATATATAATAAAAAA